CCGTTCCTGTTAAGCCGACGCCCCGAGGCGCGGTGACAGGCCAGCCTCCGCCTACTGACCGTCTATCGATCTTCGGTCATGCAGGAGAGATCGTCTTCAACCAATTAAAAGTCGGCCTAATTGCCTACCCAGCTCTATCGATTGCTCCGGCTTAAGCCGCCCAGACGGGAAGTGGTCGCCCCCGCGACGGGTCGGTGTACCCCAAACTGTCCGGGGCGCGGTGCAAGTCGGGACCAGGTCATTTGGTCAACAGGTTGCTTGGCCAACAGATCGCTTCTGGTTGCCATGGTTGCGGTCTCAACGGCCAGGGGCGTAATCTGCCTAATCGCGTAATTTGCCAATCACCACAACGACTCAGCTTTGACTGCTTCCGCCTCTACGCCTGGCAGACGCGCAAAGGCAATGGCGATCGTGCCGGGGTCACAAAAGGCCTCTCGCTCGTTCGCTCTTCCACTTTCTCTCTCTTTCTTTCTCATTCTCTCTTTTCTCTCACGCCCCACTCTCTCTCTCTCTTTCCCTCTTGTATATCAGGTTGATGGGCCGGCTAACTGTTGTCAAGTCCCCTCGAAAAGGGGCCAAGTAATCAGAGCTGCGACCAAAGTTGGCTGCGGACGAGGCGATGTGGCTTCGACTGGCAGGCCTGACAATCAGTGACAGTCTCGGCGCCTACTCACATCGAAAATAAGTAGTGTGATCGCTTGCAATGGCAGACACGTGTTGGCCGCCGTCTCCTTTCTCTGTTTAGACATGCTTTGACCTCGTTTTGCCAACTGGGTCAGGTTGTCAGGACGACCTAGATGGACACAAAAAACCGGCATTGATGATATACACCGTTGGAAGGTGGATTTGGTGGAATTTCCAGACGTTTCGCCGGCCTCCTTGACAGTCTTGGCGCCAAAACTCCGACTTGTCAGTGATATAAGGGTATTCCGTCCCTTGACCAGCCTTTTCCTGAATAATTTTGGTAGAACTCCTCTTTCACTTCTGCTGGAGGAGGGAAGGAAAACAAAGGCTCCTTTATTCAAGAGCTACTGATATTATCGAAATTCATTTCAACTCGGACACAAGGAACGTCGCGCAGCCACAACGACTGTGCCGGTGGAGCCGTAGTTACGGAAGTTCAGGTATTGGCAACGGGGAAACTGACTTTGTCCGGACCAACGCCAGTTCAGTCCAACATCTGCCTACGCCTGGGGTACCCTTCTCTACACACTTTACAGCCTCTGTATTGCGCGGCCTTTGGCCCAGGCCCGAGGCATATCACGGCACCGCTACAGATATTTTCCGCTTATAAGTGAGTTGTTGAAACTACAAGTCGATTTAATATCAGGGCTGTAGTTAAGATGGTAGTTGAGTTTTCCCACAACCATATGAGTAAGCTTTTCGGCTCCATTGCATTTCACCCAGCCTTGCTTCCCAAAAGCTATTCTCATCCAGGCTGGAATGGAGTGCAGTCCCGACCTCGCTGGAACTGGTCTCAGCAACAGCCCAAGCGGGACTCGAACCATGACAGTGCAGTGCATAATTTCGACACGTTAACCTCTACGCCAGACTGCCACGAGTCACTTGAGTCACAGGGCAGATGCGACTTTCAAGGAAGGCCAGGCACCTCCCCATATGGTGGTGAGATTTTCGATGAAGCAAAATTGTATTTGCTATAGCAATCGAATTCATTACTTTTATTCCTAGTGGGTAGGTTTCGAAACCATCAGTAGATTTTGAGTCAAAACTATATTCACCTTTAGCCGCACAAGGCGATGAAGGAATCATATGGATTGTGCAATCCCCTTCATAC